TGGGGGGGGGGGGGGCAAACATATATATATAAAAAGAACATTCTGCAGCCTAAGATGAGGTCAATGAAAGTAAAATAGTTCAATTATTTCCAGTTAGATTTCTGCTAGCAAAGAAAGATTTAAGTAACTCATGGGAACTATGGACACGTCGTTTTGAAACTGAAACCTTGGACGGACAGCAGAAAAGTAAAACGCATTTTTACGATTTTTTTTAACTCACATCAGTCAACAACTCATACACGGCCCAGCACCTCGTGTAGTTTTGGAAGTGGTGGAACAAGAAGAATAGAAGCTCAAAAATGCTAGAAAGGCACAAATGCACATGTCCTGCCGAACACCCGAGTATCACTTTGTGCCAGGTACAAAGGAACTAAGATCCCAACAGAGGCAGACGTATTCGCACTGTTTTCTATCTGATTGAAGAACAAGAAGACTTTTCGAACGAATAAAAAGATGAAATAAAACGTAGTGCTGTCAATGGCATCTCGATCCTGAACAAAAATTCTGCCACCCGTGGCTCCTACAGTGGCAGAAGACGGCAACCCGCACATCAGCTTCCCTCCCGACGTTCTACAAAAACATACACAGATATTGTTTTCAATAATAGAGAGATAGCAGCCAGTCGCCTGGCCGTCACCGGCAGACAGCCAGCGGAGACGAGGAAAACAAGACCATCTCCTGCGTTTACAAACATTCTTGTCTTGTACGTCCACGGCCAGAATTGAGCGACTGGAGAGACTTTTGTTGCACGAAAACTTCTTCCCTCGTTCCACGTTGGGCGTCTCGCGATTTACCAAAGAGCAAAAACAAACAGACTTCAGGGTTTTGCCGAACATCATCTGATTAATCCGAAAATGGTCACGGCGGTGTTACATAACGACGATAATAACGAAAATAAATATGTCCGGAGCGTGAGTACCAAAACGGAGCTTGGAGGCAAAGCTCCATTCTTTCCAAGCTCTGCATTAAATGGAGATGTTGGTGGTGAGCCCCCAACATACACAAACCGCGGTGACACTGTCTCCCCTTTGTCTCCCACCACTACTCATCTCACTTCTCCTGCGCAGAGCAAACACAACGAGAAATCAGTCGAACTGTACTACATGGCAGAAAATGATATTCATATTCTCTACATTCCCAATTCCAAACGATTCTTTCAAGCTAAGATACTTTCTCTGAATCATTCTCGAACAGATGATGACGAAGTACTGGACTTAATGGGGAACAGCTAAGGGGCCATCACTGCATTTAAATTCAAATCTCTTGACAAGAGTTTTCCATACGCACACTGACGCTAGAGTGGCCTGCTTCACGTTCCCCCAACACGCTTGTCCATTCTTATCCACCTAGCTCAGGCCACGGGACAGTAGTTGTTGTTGTGTACACGGGAGAGACCTCAATTTCCCAAGGTCTGAATTTCACTGAAGATCAACACGGCCACAACATTACAACACAGACTTTATGACGGTTGCAGGGCCCAATAGTGAAAAGCATTCCTTAAAATCTTGAATGATGAAAGGCGATTTGGTCGAGGGGGTACACCGGGGCAGGAGCACTCAATAACGCCTCCACCTCACAACGTTCACAGAGTTTGCGAGCTTATAAGCAATCTGTAGCGGGCGTAAAATTATTTTTTCCTCGAGTCACTTCAATATATACCGACAAATACTAAAAGGTACACTTCTTCTAAGTTTGCACTGCGGTACTTTTAACACTACAAACACTTCTCCCCATCGCGGCCAAAAGCAGTCTACATAAGCACTAATATCTCCATGACAAAACGTACGTGGAATTGTAACGCAAGTGGAAAACAAGTATTGTACAGAAGTACGAGCACATACCACACTATCACATAGTCATAAATATCATCCCGCACGAGCCAAAATCCCTTAACAACATTACCATGGCAACTGTTACAACATACACATCCATAAATATTATCCCCCGAGACCCAAAATCCGTTCACAGTAAATAGTTACCAACAAAATCAACCGGTCTACAAACACTCGCTTATTACATAAACAAATAATAAATATTCGTAGTCTGTATTGATGGAAACTGTGCACACAGATCAGTAACCACCAAACTCTGGGGTCGCGCTTTCAACCCCATTCGGGGATAGGATGTGCATCGGCGTTCTTTCGCGATGCGTCGTCCTACGTAGGCAGAGGTCTTGCGATGGGCACGTCCCTCATCCAAAGGGTCTTACCAAGTACACAAACAACTGACTGTTTCAGAATTAGCTCTGATTCGAACAAGCGACAGTCATAATTAGTAATAACTGACGAAAAAGTGACGACGATACAAACCACTAAATCGCGTAATTATTTGACTAATTATCAGGAGTTCCAGAGACACCCGTTTTCAACTCGGCAAAGAAGACACGTGCAAGGCCGCAACCGAGGTCGATTTCGATGACGCAAAAGGCCCCACATCAATTCGGTGAACGAGCAAGTCCGTCGTGTACCAAAACAACGTTTTCCCGCGTTTTTGTTTTCACAGCCGAGTAACCTAACTCAGCCTTCACGCCTCGCAAAGGCACGTGATTCCCGTTCGCGTAACGACGTTCCATCTGTGCAGCATTGGTAACACGCAGCTGACGAAATAAGGGGCAGTCATGTTTCTTAGACTTAAAACATGAATTAAGATTCGTCTACTGCTTACGAAGAAGGTGTATTATAACTATTCTTAGACTCTTAATTTAACAAACGTAAAGAAGCTGTAAAATCACGCACGACGTTTCGGAAACTGACTCTGCCTCCGTCATGAGGTGAAACCACACAACCTAGTCAGCTGCGTCAACTGGAAGGGTGGCGGCAATAAAGTTTTCGTGGGCGATCAGGCGTGTCAGAACGGAACGGGGTTAATAACCAACGTTTCCGAGACCACTGCTGCCTCCATCATCAGGGTTAACGGCTCTACTGATGAATCCTGCTGATGGGGGGGACAGAGGCAGTCTACGAAGCGTTGGATATTACTTTCGCGTGACTGATCGTCCGAGAAGACTTCACTGCGTCAGTGGCCGTGAAAGTTAAAATCTCACATTTCTTAATGACTACATAACGTCGTACATGATGCATTAGAAATCAGAGATTAAATGTTAGGGGAAAAGCGAGCAAAAGCAGGAACAGACAAACACCGGAGGATGCATTTCCACAGAACAACATCAAGGTTAGTCTTTTAGTAAGACCCAAACGAAGCAACAGAAAGGCATTTAAAACCGATGACTGGGGCAGGGATCAGGCATGCATGCTATGATGATGAGGCCTCAAAAAATTCGTCTGTAGCTGGGAACCAGAAAATGATTAAATGCTGTATAAGAGGTGACAGCCGTGAAGTTAGGGCAGAGGGAAACATGACGAACACTGTTACCAATTTCCGTGCACAAAAATGTACAATGCAATGTGAAGTTCCACAACCAACCGAAACGTTCTGTTTAGACATCAGTGATACGATCAGGCGATATTTCTGAGGTGAAGCCAACCCTGCAAAAAGCCTCGTATTTTCAACAAGAAAATTCACATTCTTTGTCCATCGTATTGATGTGTCGAAAATTAAATTATTGTCATCTTATTCTGGAATGCAACGTAACAATAACGCAGGTGAGAGACATGCAAAGGCGCCCACTTACCTGTATAAAGAGCCATGACGTGACGAGGGCTAGTCCACTGTATTGCCCGTTGAAGCGGTAGTGATACGCATAAAACGAGAAGTGGTACAGGTAGAAGAACCTGGAACAAGGAAACCAATCATTT